TGACGCGGCTGCCGCGCCCGCTGGCCTTCCACCCGGGCGCTGCGGCGTCCTCTCTGTGGAAAACAACAGGCGGGCGGGTGAGCGGGCTCCTCCGCGGCGCGGCGTGGGCACGGCCTGGGCAGAGCCGGGGACTCTTGGCATCCTCTCGTCTCCCGCGCCTCCCTCCACCTCCCCTCGCCTCTCAGCCTCCTCCTCGACCTACTCTCCTCTCTGCTTCTTCCTGGGCCGGCGACCCCGCAGCGCTCCCGGGGCCACCATCCCCGTCTTCCTGTCAGGGCTTTTCCATACGGCAGGCAGCCCCCGCTAGGCGCCCTCGGGTCCCTCCAGTCCCCTTCTGGTGTTCTCGCGGGCTTTAATAGGGAGGGGACCTTGGAGATCCAGAAGAAGCTGCTTTCCCTGTCCGTCTTTCCTTAACTAACCTTGACCTTGCACTCGCTGGCTCGCTCTCTCCTCCTCACCTCCTGCCCCCCAATCTTCTCCATCTTTTCTTCCAGCCCCAGGGCATTGCAGTCATTAGCACTACTAGTCTTGTTCTAGTTTTATTTCTAGTTTTTTTCTAATATAAGTTATTAGTACTATTCTTGTTGTTCATCAATTCTTCTTAAATAAGCATGTCCAGAGTTTTCACCGGCGCAATACAGAGGAAAAGTGAGAAAAAAAAAAAAATACAGGCCCTGCCCTCCAGGGGCTTACAGTCTAGACGGGACAGAGAGGAGCAAAGGCAGGAGGGAGGTGGAGGGCTGGGGAGCAGAGGTGAAGACAGATTATGAGAATGGGGAGAGAAAAAAGCCATGCGACGAGTGGCAGGTTGACATGCTGTGGTCCCAGCACTCCGCGGCGATGGCAGGCAGGGTGGGGGTGGGGGTCCCGGCCGGCCGGTGGCAGGCAGGGGTGAGGAGGGGCAGGGCGCCGGCCCCTGCCGCGCAGCAGCATGCAGCATGCATCAGGTTTTACCTGATCTCACTAGCCAAGTCGCCGCAGGCCCCGCCGCGGACCCCGAGGCCGATGCCGTTGCCAAAGGCACCGCCGGAGCCGCCAGCCCCGGAGCCCCCGCAGCAGCAGCAGATGAGCCCCGCGATGCCCACCAGGAGGCAGGCTAGTATGAGCAAAGAGCCCAGCACTGCGCCGATAATGATTCCGATGCGCCGGGTGTCTGGGGAGAGAAGTAGAGACTAGTCAGGCTTTCTGCAGCCTGGCTGGCGCCTGGAGTAGTAGACGATGTCAGGGCAGGGCGTCTGTGGGAAAGAGGGCCAGGGGTGGGCAGGGGGTCTCAGGACCATCGGACATCCAGTGAGGAGTGGGGAGATGCAAGTTAACCCCTGATTGCATGTCTTCCCCAGGGCTTCCCAGCTGCCCCAGGCAGACCTGGGCACTGATGGCAACAGGAAGACAGCTCCAGCTGAGGCTCCAATATACAGCCCAGGTTCCTCCAGTCCAACCCTCCCTGCCACGGGGCCCCCAGGGCCACTGCCGCTGCACCCACCTGAGACCTTCACTTCCACCACACACACGCTGTAGCCCACGTGGTTGGCCACGGTGCACTGATACAGCCCATTATCCTCTTGGGAGATGTCCTTCAACACCAGGTCGCCGTTATTCAAGCCTGAAACTGTAGGAGCATCAGAGGGCTGTGGTGAGGTTGAGGGGCCTGATCCCCAAGAGCTTCACCCCCGCCTGTACCACTGTGGGGTGGAGCATGGAGGAGGGAAGGGGATCTGCACACACACACATGTCCACCTCATTCCCCAGGTGAGACACCTTCCCCCTGCTGAACCAGAGGCAAGGAAGGGCCCCTTTCCCAGCAACAGGAGCGATACCATTAATTCACTCTATGACCTTAGGGATATATGACCCCTTCCTGAGCCTTGGTCTCCTCATTTGTACGGTGAGGACAGGGCTAGACCACAGGGATTCTGAGGTCCCTTCCAGTTCTGATAGTCTTTGATAGTGAGCACTAGCCAGCTTCTCTGTGTGCCAGCAGCTGTCTACACCTCACCCCATTTAATACGCATGTGCCCCTGAAGGTAGATGTTATCATCCACTTTTCCTACACTGCAGGGTGGAGCAAGCTCAGAGGAGGCTGCCCCAGAGGAGACCAGGGATTCTCGGTTTGACTTGGTAACACTAATGACCCACAGAAGCCCCAGCTGGACCCAGAGTCCCGATCTTCCCCTCTTCTGGGCACCCTCACCTTGATTTATGGAGCTGTGGAAGGACTCCTGGTAGGAGAGCTCAGAGTGGAAACTGTGCTGGGAGTGGTAGGACCCAGCCCGGTAGGGGTGTGTGTGCCCGCTGATCTTGGCCCACCTGTAGGAGAGAGGCGGGCTGCCCCCATTGGCAAAGCACTTCAGCACCACATCGTTGCCGGGTGTCATGTGACCCTCAGACCAGCACAAGGGCACTGCTGGCCGTGCTGCAGAGAAATGGGCAGTTGTGAGCCAGGACCCAGCAAGGGGCAGAGCCAGGGTCAGGGTGGCCAGACTACCCTTGGCTCTGGAATCTGGGGAAGGGGAGCCCAGAGGAGCCTGGCCATACCTTGGACGGTGACAGTGACCCTCCGGGTGGCCATGGTGGTCTTCTTCACCCGGCACTCATAGGTGGCAGTGTCGGATACCTGCAGGTTCGTGAGGGTGATGGAGGCGTCATACTGACTGGGGTCTGAGGCTGCAAAGCGGACCCTCTGCTGCAGATGGGGGAGGTTGCCATGGTTGATCCTCTTGTCCTGGTAACTGAGAAACTGGAAGAAGAGAAGAAAGCAGAGATGGGAGACAGGCAGCACCAAGGGGGGCCTTGTTGATTGGCTATCTTAGGCAGTGCACTGAACTGCTCTGAGACTCGGTTTTCTTAGCTGAAAAATGGGAATGATGATGCCTGACCCACTGACTTCTTACAGAATGGGTGAGATCGGATGAGATCAAGCACCGTCTACCTGATGTCTACCTTCAGGGCACTTGAGGATTAAATGGGGTGAGGGGTACACAGCTGCCAGCACACACAGGACCTAGCTGGTACTCAGTCAAAGACTCTCAGAGTCTAAGGTCCGGGCAGGGACAGCCTTGGGAAGCCTTGGGGGAAGTTCCAGGGCTCGGTTTTTCTCATCTGCCCTACTTTTCCCCTCCGGGTGTTGGCTGCCTAGGAGATAGATACCTTGAAGTGTAAAGGAAGGGAGACCCTATGCCCAACACTCACCACATTCTCCCGATGTGAGGGGTCCGAGTTGACCTGCATCCACTCAATGTCCAGCCCATTAGGACCGTAGTCCTCAGGGTCCAGGATGTAGGGGCAGCCCAGTCTCACATTATCACCTTCCGCCAGGTACAGGACCTCCTGGCCATCCCCGTTGATCCGCACAGCGGAGAGCAGTGCTAGGACACAGGCAGAGCAGACGGAGTGAGGGGAGCAGAACCAGGGCTTGGGTGGTCAGCTTCAGCCCTGCTCCATCCACTGTTTCCATCAGCGGCAACCCAGGGCTCAGTTCCCTAGGGAGGAAGGGCTGCGCTGAGTGTGTGCGGAGGTGTGTGCATAAATTGATACGTGCCTGTCTGTGCAGACTTGTGTCAGTGTGTCTGTTTTCTGTATTTGTGCAGGATTGCATCTGAATACTGTTTCTATGTACATAGCTGGTATGTCTGCTCGTATGTCTGCAGGATTGAGCACACATGCATGGCTGTGCACACACGTGTACATTGTGTGCTTTTGGGTATTTGTGGCTGCTTTTGGGGATAATCATGCACGTGACCAGGTAGAGTGTCTGCTTATATATTTACGTGTGTGTGTGCGTGTATGTGTGCGTGTGTAGGCACATGGAGCACATACAGTGTTAAATGCTCTGATGGAAGATCCTGGCTGGTTAAAAGCCACCTCTGTCTGGGCCAAGTGAGGTGGTGGTGTCTGGAGACAGGAGGATGGACACTGTGGCCTCCGGAGTCCCATTCTGACCCAAGGAGTGGAAGAATGGGTATGTCTTTGTGTCTCAGTGTGTATGATAGTGCATGACTGTGGCTGTAGGCCTGTGTGACCATGTGTGCCTGGCTGGGTAAGGGCTCTGAGTGCTAGGGTGGGCCTGGGCGTGACCATGCCCAGGAGCCTGGCTGTGTCCGTGTGTGTGAGTGCATGATGGTGCTGGGTACATGGCCACACATATCGGTCGGACGGGTGAGCTTTGTGTGGAGGCGTG